GATCTTCCTCAGCTGGATCTGGGTCATTTCCTACCTGGTCGGCGCCTTCACGACCTCCAACTACAAGTGGGGCTTCTATGCCTTTGGCACCTTTGCCTGGATCCTGCTCGCCGTCAGCCAGTGGCTGCTCGACGGCCGCCGCTCGGCCGTGCGCGTCGGCGTCGCCCGCGACTTCAACCTTCTGTCGGGCTGGCTCAACCTGCTGTGGCTGCTGTATCCGCTTGCCTACGGCCTCAGCGACGGCGGCAACCGCATCGGCGTGACGCCGAGCTTCATCTGGTACGGCATCCTCGACGCGCTGCTGCTGCCCGTCCTGGCCTTTGGCACGCTCGTCCTGTCCCGCAACTGGGACTACAGCGGCCTCAACATTGCCTTTACCCAGTACGGCCGCGTACCCGTCGCCGGTGGCCACTTCCCGGAGAAGGAGCAGGCTGCCGCTGCTGCTCCCGCCACTGCCACTCCGGCCGGCGGTCCCGGTGGTCCCGGTGTCGTTGCTCCGGAGCCCGCCGTGACTGCGTAAGAAGATGTACCGATGCGTTGTCTCTTGGCAAACCAATCTCATCGGGATGTCTTGTTCCATGGTGCGCCCTCAAGCGTACCCGATGCCGGACCCTGGCTCTACCCTACACAAATTCAAAACGTCACGTCAGCCGGATGATGCCTGTAAGCTCTGTCAGTCCGCCACACTTGACAACCACTCTCTCCGATTTTCTTCGTCTTGATGATTTTGGATCTCGTCTCTTTTATTGTTTGCATTTTTTGGATATACCCCAATTGTTGGTTTCACTCGTTATGATGATCAGATATTTCGAGGCTTCAAGAAGTATGAAGCACGCCGAGGGCCACCTCGTCCTGCTTCACTTCAGCCCTAACAACTAACAGCTTTAGCAGCTCGGCCTTGGCTTACACAACGTCGGTGCTAGTAATGTATAATGAGGGGTGGATGCACATGCAGATGACTATGTAATTTGAAATTTAGTTAAACCATTGCCAGAAAGTCAAGCTCTCCCGTTGCAAGCTGTCACGCCGTATGGTTTGTTATAAGAGGACGTGGCGCTAGGTGCCAACGTCGTGCCTCTTGCTTAATGTGATATATGTCAAGGCAGTGGAACTTACGGTGATCCTTAGATGGTCTCTGGCTTTCGTTGCGACGTTCTCATAGTATCGATGCGTTTGTCGATTGGTTTGAAACTCTATTGAGGCGTTTTTTTTAAGGATATGCCAGGTCGGACTCAACGCGGTAGATCCTCAGCTCTCCCTCGTAGGTGGCCATACCAGCACGAGTGCTTGTGCCTACAGCAGGAGGAGTAGGTTGTTTGTGTGGCTTGAAAACTCAATCTCCCAGGGGCCTGAAAGCGTCGTGGAAAATACAACACAAAGTAAACAAACACTCTGAGTTATACAGCAACATTGAGAGGGCCATAGAATCGTCTTCCCAGGGTAGATACCCATACACCCCATCACCCATCTGGAGCCCGGTCGTCGAATGCACGGCCGAGGGATGCCGGTGGGCTTGGACCCCTGAAGCTGTGACCAGACGAAAGGCGAGACGCCCGGCTAATGACAAGCTGCACCTTGATCGTTTCCTTTTGTTTTATTACGTAAGTCCCATTCACTTGTAGAAACGCCATGGTTTCGATCGGGACGCTTGGATAAAAGGTGACAGCTCAAGCTTGGGCTGTCACGGCACTTTCGAGCAGTTTTACAGGATGTGCATCTTCCCACATCACAACCTGACAAGCGACACACCGGGCTGGGTCGTGTTGCAAAGTCCGGTAGGATCGACATCGTCGTGGTGACGGATACATCGTCCGTTCTCTTCGTCTCCAGGAGCAAAAGATAAGTCAAATTTAGTAGAGACATTTTCAGCGCGGTCTCTGCTTGGATCTTTATTAATTGCGGACTCTAACAGTCTCATCCCCTTCGAACAACAATATGCGTCCGGCCCCGGCTTCTCTGTCTTTTTGTCCTCTCCTCCGGGTCATCAAACGCACACGTGGATGATATCCTACACTGCCCATTTTTTTCTCCGGCAACCGCTATTCGATACCACCCCAGCGCTACCAAAACAAAGAGGTGTCACCAGAAAGGTCACTTATACCAACCTCACTTCCATACCGAGGATTATGTCCGTCAGACACATCATTTTTTTATGTTTGGGGCCAGACCGGTCTTTCACCGTAGTTTGGCCTCCTTTTTGTTTTACATTTTCTTGTGATACCCCGGTTAAACACCCAAAGAAGTACCCTGGAAACAGACGAACACTAGGCTGGCAATGCCCAAACAGACCTGCAAACCAGTTGGCCTTTTTGGGGGATGAAATGCATCTACACAATCTGCCGAAAGGCTTTGGCGGGACACTTTTTTTTCGTCCAAAACTTAATTTATGTGCTGTGGGATAATACCTACAAAGAGGGAGAGGAAATAGAGCTCGAGGACCAGGGGCCTGGTTGTGGCCGTGTTCCTTTCTCCTCTCACTTTATCGGGCATTGGAAAGACAGCAAATAAATGAATCGCTTTATGTAACCCCGGGCGTGCGACGGAGAAAGCCCACAGAGTATAAGGCATAAGGGTGCGTCAGTGGCTTGAGAGGGGGGCAAAATTGGGTGGCGGGACGCCATATTCATCAGCGAAGAAGGATAGAGAGTGTGTCAACCACACCCGTCACTTCACACACGGCAGGAGAACAGGCCAGGCCTCCCTCGAGCCTGGTCGAACGTCCGCAGGATGTAGGGCCCCAAAATGCACTTTAGGCAGAGCTTGCCGTACGAGGTGTAAGACGAGCGTGATAAATAAAAAGGACAGAGACTGGAATATTTGTCAGCCGTGTGAACGATTCGAAGTCGCTTTAGGGCGTGTGGTTTGGTGGACGGATTCGCAGTCTTTCTTGTCTTTTTCTCGGGACCGGAAACATCGCCGAGAGGATCCAAGATCCAAAATCCAAAACCCCAAAACGCCACACCCGCTCACCCACCGGTTGTTTGCCCGTCTGCGTCCTGTCAAGCCCCTGTTGTGTGCCCAAAGGACGGGATACATTGCTCGACATAAAGTGCATTCCCGTTTTTTTGTGTAGTGTCCTCGCGATGCGGTTGATGGAGAAAATCCATCCCGCTCCGTGGCCAGAAATAAGAGAAACCAGGGGCAGGGGACAGGGACACGGCAAAACTGGGTAAAATAAATAAGCCGAGCAAGTAAGAAGGGCGTGGATGGTAAGGTGACGTGAGGTTGACGTTGACGGGACATGGGAGAGTAAAACCGGCAACTGAAGCACACAACAAAAAGGTGGATTTTTTGTTCGTCATTTTTTTTTTATGTAATATCTATTCTTACATAGGTATGTTCTCCAAAAACTGCATCGATATCGTGGAAACAACGAACATAATAATAAATCGAAATCAAACAACAAGGTAAATAAAAGAAAATCAAGGAAATAAGATACTAGCCTCTCCTCTCCTCTCTCCACCGTCTCAAATTAACGAAACTGCAACCCCCCATGCCCGTTATACTACAACTATCATTACTATACCTTCATGTATAGCTTCATGCATATATCCGACCGGGCACTGGGGCTTGGGACTTGGGATATTTTTATAACAATTGGAAATAAGCACGCTCCTAAGTAACAGTTAATGCGAGATGTGTGGATATAGCAAACAGCCAGTCTCGACGAGGTATTGTCGTTTACAGTCACCTGACGAGGCATTCTCAACAAGACGTGTCCCGATGGAACTCGTATGGTTCTTTTGGCTACCGATGACAAGCCAGAAATGTATCTTTTCATGGGCACATAATTTTATTCTGCCAGCAACCGCGCTCGGCAGGTCGATTCCGAGAATATAGTCGCTGGATGCGGGACGCACGTCAACGTCAGGATGATGAAAGAAGGGGGAACTGGACGTCTCGGAGTCTCAAAAGACGGAGCCATGGGATTTCTGTCTCGAGAAGCACTGGGAAAGCAGGCAGGCAAAATAAAAAAGAAAAAAAATCCAAAAATAATAATATGAAATTACAAAAGATCAAACAATCACACAGGCGAGGCGTATAATCACAATTCTGGTATGTGACGAGAACATGGATGCCCACGTGCTATTGGTCTCCTAGTCACGACGATGGAGTACGAAGACGTGAACGGAGGGAGACACAGAAAGGAAGTGACGGTTGGAGATTGCCCAGAGCGTTCCAGAAGACGGCAAGGTTGCAGGTCTGCCACATGGGAGAAAAGTAAATAAGAATAAAGGCGGACGGGAGAGGGATATGAAGCGTGTCGAGCAGGCATGCGAGACGCGGGATGGACAGAAGGGGTGTGTATAATTTTGCGTCGAGATCCAACAAGAGCACGGCGTATGGGCTACGGGCGCATTTGCAAGACGGGAAGAAGATGAGAAAATAGATTGCTAGCCATCCTTCGGGTTGAATCGTGGCGTGTTCGGTCCCAGAAAGTCTCAGCCAAACGGGACAAGAGTTTGGAGGGTCGATGTGCGGATAGATGTGAGAGTTGCGCATCTGATTACGGGGAGAGCATGGAAAGGATTTGAAGCACACGAGCGAAAGAAAATCAGCAGTGTATAGAGCAACGGGAACAAAATCAGCGTCTATGAAGGTGAAGCGACGTTGATGAACGAAAGCTTGGGGAGTTGGTGGCCACGTCCTCTCAGAAGGCTCTCATGTATTTTCGCATTTCTTCATCGCTCTGAGTATATTGAGACATTGCAACAACTCTAATTGGCACCTCACGATGCGGTTACTGTCTTTGACTTTCTTGTCGCCCAACATGTCTTGTTTTGGTCACGGCCTCGGCTGAGTTAAAGCCATGATTCGAAATGCCGACTGCCCACCGTGCACAATGCATTGAAGTGCATAAACACGTGAATGCGTGCCAATACCGACCAGGACCTACATGATGCATCGGCTGTGTACGAATGTACCAGGACGTAGTAATGGGACCGTCGTGCGCCCTAGAACCAGGACATGCTATACGAAGGAAGGGCCACAGGCCGTCCTCAGACCGTTCTCACGCCACCAGGTTCCAGAAAACGAGACAACTGACTGATCTTGGTAATGAGAGTCACCATCTCTGGAACGGATGCCGCCCTGCCAGTCTGCAGATGGTGGCTTGTTGTTGCAAAGGGCTGGAATCGAGAACCGGCGACGCGGAGTTGACATCCGTCGAGAATCTCACACTTTTCGTCGGGTGTGGTATTTTGCCGTGCTGGATCTGGGTGGGGACTTCTAGTACTCCTCTCTTCTCTGTACGACATACGAGTAAGCTTGTTCTGCAAACGCAACATGGGGGCCAAAAGGTGGCAGACCAACGGCTTTTTTTTACTTCAGGGGAGCCACAAGAGCCGCGCGATTTCCAACAAGTGTGCCGCTGAGTTGTGATAGGGGAAGTAAATCAAGACAGGCCACGAAGCGAGGCAGCGCACGTCGTACGAGCCAAGAGAAGCGGCCGTTTCTTAACTTTTGTCTTTTCCCCTTTTCCACTCAGAAAATGGAAACGAACCGGGCCTACGTGGAGGCATTCAGAGGGGTAAGTGGAAGAAGACGACAAAAAGAAGAAGAAGAAAAGGGTGGGCTAGACCGAGTTGACACAGGTGGGAAGTGGATGAAAGCACAACAGTATGCGGAGTACGACATACAAAAGCAGCAAATTCACACAGATATAAATTGTTGCACTTGCTGTACTTCGTACGGAATACTTGTTGGCAGTATCGTGGGTCGCCCCCACAGGTGCGCAGATTTATGTCTCGAACGGTCGAGCAGCTGCAAGGGAGTGCGTCCGCATGTCCTAGAGGAGACATTATGGCTTGCAAAGGGCACGGACTGTTTGACGGGCAAAGCAAAAGCAGAAGGAGGATAAAGAGAGTACACCAAAAAACAGAAAAAAATATGGGCAAAAGTGACGAAACAAGGTTAGCAAGTCGACTCGGCTCAACACCGCAGCCTTTGTCTTCAGTCGCGTTCTTCCAGACCCGAATTTGCATGCTCCTGACATGCGACTCTCTTGGCCGTGTCTTTAAAAGTAGAGAGACCGACGGAAAGGCGACAACATGATCGATGCACGCCGTACATAGACGGCGTACAGGCCGCTCGGTCGGAGCGTTTATGCTTTCCGGCCCGGTCGAAGGACCAGAGAAAGCCACGAGGGATTTTGAGTAGACCCTGAGAGGCTACAGGGAGGGAAAAGGAAACAGATGTCTCCCCTTGCAGAAACGCGGTTGTTCTCCCTTTTCACGTCGTCTGTTGCCTTTGAAGGTCTTGTCCAAGGCCGTCCCGGGCCGCGTCATAAAACACAGTCTTTGAGAAAGCAACAGCCGGCGGCCTTCTCCCACCCTTGTAGTCCCACGCATGTAGACTGAATAAGCCATTTTGACCTATCAGTTTTGCTGTGTGGAAAACGTCCGAAGACAAACGACCGTTGAACGAGAGCTGCCTCACCGAGAGACCAAAGGGCACAGGAAATTGGAGAATGCTCATCCGTTAGTTTTCTTTCCTTTTTTCATGCGGCCAGTTTCCCCTTCCAGCATGTCGACGACGATGAATTGTGGTCCCCCAATTTTGTTGATCCTCTCGCCTCGCCCCACTCCTCTGACAGTCACACTGTCTGTCTGACTGTCCAGCTGCCCATCTGTTGCACTGCGTGATTGCGTCTTTTTGAGTGGCAAAAGCATATCTTGGTTTGACTTTCGGTTGTGTGGAACTGCTCTCGGGATTTGGCGTCGTATGTTGCCTTTTGCGGACGTGTTTTGTCATGCTCGTTGGCCGTATTCGTTGGCACGCCCCGCCGCGTTGTTTTCGCCCTTCCGCGTCGTCTTTTCTCCATTTCTGCGCTTCGTCGTTCTTCGTGTTCATGGTCAGCGGTTCGCTAGTCGTCGCTTGTCGTTTCGCTTGTCTTTTGTTTATCGTCCTTATCCAAGTCTGGACGGCCAATTTCTCTTTTGGGAATAGCGACGTGTTGCTCCTTCTCATTGGACGGAGCTTGCTGGAGTGCAGCTTCTGGGCCCTCCTCTCGCTCTTTCCCACTGTGCACACTGTATTCTAGCGTGGATGCCCAGAGTAGCAGGCACCCCTCTCCACTGTTGGTTCGTTATCCTTCATTCACCGGCGTTTGCCCCCTTCCGCAACCACGATACTCTGTCAGTCTGTTCCCCCTCTTACCAAACAACTCCGTAATGAATGGCCTGTAACAGCGTCGTATTCTCACTTCGTACTCTACTACAGCGGGGCCGCAGTCGCCTGGTGTTTTGTCGTGGCCCATAATTCCTTCCTTTTGGAGCCACTGGACATTGTGAGAGTGAGGGAAGGAACGTCAGAACGTGGCTAGTGACTCTCCAACAGCTGACGGGGTTCCTGTTCCTGCTCACCCTGCCCTTTGCTGGTTGCTTCCTTCCCTCTCCCATGCTGCTGGGGCAAGGCGCGCGGTGCTGGGGAAAGGACCAAGCTGGCGTGTTTGGGAGACCCTACAATTGCAAGGCCACCCACTCCTTCTAGCGCCTTGTAGGATGGATATTTTTACGACATCTTTTGTATCGTAATGCTCCTGGGTTCTTGTTCCTCGTGCGCTGGTACGAGTTTCCGGCGTGTTTTCTTGCGCCATATGCCGCGTACTTTTGTCTTCCTTTCTTATGTCGCCCGTTGTCGCTCCGTGCTTTTGTTCCAGGCTTAACGGCCGAAACGAAAATAAAAGGACTTTAGTTGGAAGAAGGGCGAGTGGGCTTTTGCTTTGACCACTGAACTGGGAAGGAATGCCCCTCTTTTGTTTTTGGTACACTGGTTTCTCCGAGTTCACCACGTCCTCGGTTTCCTTTGTACCTTTCTGCTGGGATGTGGCTGGCGACAGTACATACATGGAGGTACTTGGTCGGTTTCCAATAGTTCGTACTTTCCAGTCGGCTCGGCTCCACATGACAAAAACTCAGGGGGGTTCTTTCCATCTTGTTTTGATTGACAGCTAGCGTGTCCTTGTCCACTAACATGCCGCACTGCCGTCATCACCCTGTTCTCGCCCCCCCCTCCCCCCAGAAGATGGTGTCCTGACCCTCTGTGGCGGGTTATTTGGCTCCTACAGCACCCGCTCCAGCGGTTACAGGTCCCGTCATTTTGGGGTCTGTTTGTCCATCTCGGCCGTGTCGCTTCTCGCTTGGCTCGCGGGCTAGCGCGGGAGAGCATGCTACTCAAAAAAGGGCACTAGTCAAAGCGCGCCTTTCTGTTTCTGGAGCGATTCTGCGCGCCTCTGTTGGCACTAAATCGTTTTGTTCATTCGTCGTAAATAAAGGAAATAAAAGGAAATAAAAAAATTAAAAGATATGAATGAAGGCGCAGCGATCGACCGCAAGAGCGTCCAAACAGGGTCCAAAACACTATCTTACGATGTAAGAAAAACGAGACTCTTGGAAAGTAACATATCATGTCCTCGGTTATTTGTCCATTTCGCCCATTTCGTATATTTTCAATTAGCAAGCAAAAGACCGACAAACTCATATATCTATTCAAGTGGAGACTGCACAAGAGAACGCGACTCAAAACAGAAGAGCATCGTAATCGCTTCAATATACAGTTGGAAATACTTTGAAGCGGTGTGGCGGCAAGCAAGGGGTTCGCTGCGACACATGGCATGGCATGACAGTGGCGCACCATTGACATTGACACCCTGACACCGTTCAGAGAGGAGCGAATTTGCAAGCGAGGGGACCAGAGCTGAGAGCCTTTTGGGGAATGTTGAAATAGGCCAATGAAAAGCAGCGAGGCCGGGGACATGCCAAAAAGAGCATGGCCCAACTTGACGAAAATGCACAGTGCCGATAGCCTCGAGGTGTCCAAGCCTCTCGTTGTCTCGCATGTCAGAGTGTCATTGAGACTGAGGCCATCAAGTCTCACTCCGTACGAAGTTCACCCATGTTGGGTGGCATTGGCGGGAAGGGTTTTGTAGACCAAAGCCGAGAAAATTCCAAGTATGGGAAATGGATGTTTTGGTCCAAGAAACAAGATACCGTTTCTGCACACAACATACGACGTGCGACGCAGGTACTCCAGCTCTCACCAGGATTTCTGACGGTGATCTTGTGCATCCTCCTCGTTTCCAAACGTCGCCAGGTCGCTCCTGTTTCTGGTTATCTGCAAGCCTGTCCTCTTGTTCCTGTGCAGTGTCTGGGTGGAGGGGGAGGGGCCTTCTTTGTTTGAGTCTCCAGAAAGGTTGAGCCATGGGCTCTGTCGTGTGGTTTTGTTGAGCACTTTTCACTTCGTAGTCCGTACTTTTTACTTTCGCTTCACATCCGAGCCACAGACGTGCATCTTTTGGTGGGTGGGGGGGGGGGTTGAGGAATTTGTGAAAATGACAGGTCAAAGAAGAAGAGGGACAAAGGACAGTCGTCCGCGGGAGGGATCTAGGACCGTTGGAGAATAGAATGTGACAAGAATTGCGTGTCTGCTTAGCCTCCGCCGTTCGCTTGTGGCTCTGTCTAGAAGACTGGAAGAACACAGAGCGACAAAAAAATAGCAAAAGGCGTTGCTCTTGATCGACGCAGTCTGTTCTTTCGTCTTCCCCAACTCCTTTGAATTCCAAGAAAGCGACGGCCTGCTGGTACTGAGAAACAACAGCCAACAGACACTGCAACAAAGACATAACACACGTACGACATACATCGACATACATAGTGCGATTTTGACAGCCCGACGGTTGAATGATAAAATTCCACTGCCTTCGATGGAGGAACTTGAACAAAAAAAAAACTACGACGAAAACAGCTGCTCGTAACAAATATAGTGCCAACAGAGACATATGGACAGGTCCAACATCGCCACATCTCAATGCACTTTTGATCCTCACGCTTGTAAGGTGCTCTTCCAAACACGAGTTGCGTCGACGACAGACTCTGTAATATGCCCATGCCAATTCGAGCTTTTTGGTCTTGTCCGAATTCGACCAGCGCCGTTGCATGTCGTAGTTCTTTCGTTTCCCCTGCTTCCTCTCTGCCTCGCAACGGTCGTTTTTTCGTCCACACAACACGCAAGCCAAACAAACGCAACGGTTGCAAGGTCCCCCCTTCTCTGACGTTAATTTCCATATTCTCCTTGTCAACGGCGCTGGCATTCCCCCTTCTCATTCGTCGGCACCGTAAAATATGCAATGCTCCGTGCGTGGCCTTCTTCGGGCTGCCAACGGTTCTTCGGCATTGCAATACTTTTCGGTCCACCTCGCCCGTAACAAACACCATTTTCTCCCCTTCTTCCCCTGCCGCCATTCAGAAAGCTCCAATGATTGCCCGCCAATGATTGCCCGCAGCCTAAC